ACTCCCTATCTATCACCTGAATTCAACATTCCCAGTGGATACAATCACTGGCTAGAGGCATCTTCCCCAGAAGAGGTGTCAGAGGAATTGTTAAAAATGTGAGGATGACTCTGCTATCTCTAACCTCAGTCCAATCTGGTCAGAGAAGCATGAGTCACATCTAAAGCATTATTTGCAGTCACCATCTAAACAAGCGATGGCAAACCTATGGCATGCATGCCATAGTACATTGAAAGCTCTGAACTGTTTGCCATCACTGATCGAAACTATTAGCTTCTAAAAGTAGGGAAGCAAAATGGAGGGAGGATGAGATAAGGAAGGGGAAATGGGGTGGAAAAGAAAGAATTAAGATGTGTTCTGTATGTGTACCAACTCCCCGTGAGGACTATAATCATTAAGTACTGCAAACATGGACTAATAAAAATAAAAATTTAAAAAGGGACAAAGTTTTCCAAAACCTTCAGAGGAACTCTATAGGTTCTAATCTTAATGGTTTCTGAGGCAACTGCTTTCTGGATGCTGGGGGTTTGGGATCTTGGAACAGCATGAGATGTTCTTGCCTCAGATGCCAAGAGACACTGAAACTGAAAATACAAATTCTCCTCGACCTTTGAGTAGCCACCTTATAATGAACAAGGTGGAGTGGGGATACAGTATAGTTTTCAGAGCCCTGAAAGAGTAGGTGCTTAGGGTAAGTTATACAAAAGAAATGGTCATATTCTCATAAAGAATATGTTCTCATAGAGAGAAAGAGAGAATGTGACATGGGGGAAAATATATGAGTAAATATTATGTGTTGAGAGGTGAGCGTTGTAAGGTATTCTTCTCTTACGCTATCAGGAATTTCCTACTGAAAAAAATCCTTTCTCTCTACAAGCGATCCTGAATTGTTACTGCAACAACTTCTCCTGAGCTGGAGATACGATTTTGGGGGGATTATTCTTGTTTAGATATAATTTTACTACTACTAACAAGCTGAGAAGAACATACTCTTAGATAAATGTACTTTCAAGACGATGAAAATAAGAATACAGTTACTATAGGAAACAAAAACAATAACCAGCTTCTTGGTTTTTTCCCCCATGGCTTCCTAACATGTATACTTCAAGGGAAGGAAACTTATACAACTAACATGTGTTGTTTCTTCTCTCTTCCTTTTTAATCATAGTTCCCTGGTCTTTGAGAGGGGCTGTATGCCTTGGTAACAGATTTATCTGACAAAATGGTTTATGTCTTTCTGGCTGTAATTGCAGATTAGGCTCCAAATGGACAAGCTGCAGATGCAGGGAGCCTCGGGGAGTTGCTGAGTACACTTTGGCACAATAATCCTGATCATATGTGAAACATATGTTGACTATATGGTTTAACCTCCAAAATATTCCTTTTTAATCTTTGTAGCTTCATGAGACTGGTTGAGATAGAGCTAAGGAGTTTAGGCCACCAAGTTTAAAAAAGCAAAAAAGAAAAGGAGAAACATCCTCAGATGGCTCTCCAGATATTGTATTAGTTTGTATGAAAAGAGTGGAGGAGGAAGAAAATACTTAAACTATGAAGGAAATGTCTGATATTCTGCTTTTGCTGCAGTTTTATACTCCTACATCACTTAACCTGTCAAGTTTAGGATCATCATCTCTAATCTGGAATCGAGTTTGGTTGAATGAACAAAGAGAAATTAAAATTCAGGTTGGTAAGAGGAGTAGGTGGTAAGGTTACAAGTTAACCTCTATAAAAATGCTGTGCCTTGGTAGCAAGCATTCAAATGTTCAGATGTTCAGAACCCAGTAGAACCCATCTTGTCAGCTGTCCACAACTAGAATCTTGTGTCTGTATCAGCCAGTGCATGAGTCCTGCCTTGGGCTCTTCTTGATCCTTCCCATCATAGGAAAGGCAGGGGTAATAGAAAGTGATTCTAAGGGAATCATTTAGCTCTTAGGACTCTCACAAGACTTCAGGGCTTTGGTTTAGAGAGCAAGGATGACAGAAGCTAGAATGAGCAGGCTCTATGAAAAACCAAGACAGAGGTTTTGTCCTGGAGACGTAATAAACCAAAGTGATGGCAAGGTATAGTCAAAGCGTTGTGAGAAACAGAAGCCTACGACTCTTTCCATCCCTTAACGTTGAAGATGAGACTATTGGTCAGGAATATATGAGGGCTGGATTGATTTTATGCCCCCACATCCAATGCACAGTATTTTTGGATTCCATTGCTAGCCTCAGTAGGAGATTGGCTGCTTCATGAAGTCACTCTTCTACTTTTTATTGACTCTTGCCCTTTTCTTCAAAGACTAGAGTCGCATGAGTAATGGACCCTCAGTTAGTAGAGCTATCCTTAGCACTGTTGGAGATGCAAATTTTGCTTGAGATTGTTGCTACATAAAAATCAGTACAGGGCCTGAAGACTCTGCCACAAGTGCCCCTCCAGTCCCAACACATGACTTTTAAGTTTGGATTTTTAGGCCTTTGTGCTGCTTTTCAGTGACTGCTCTGACCCTAGCTGTCCTGATAAACACTATGATTGTTCATTTGAAAAGGACCCCAGAGCTGAAGAAGGAATGAGAATTGAAATCATAATTTAATTTAAAAATGTAATTGCCTCAGCTGGTTTTATGAACATAGAGTGATATCACTCACCTACACACAATCAAATGTCATAACACTTATTCAGGAGCCCAGACACTCAGCTGAGTCACATTCCATCTGGATGTCACCCTTACTTGGAGTGAGACACCAGGTGCTGCACGTCCTCACTGGGACATTGCACACACTCAGACGTGGTGTGTGGCCTCTGAAAGCTTGGCCACATTCACTTCCATCTCACTCATGTGAGCTCTGGTCTGTCAAGGTCTCTAGAACAACAGGCAGGCTGGTTGATCTGTTGTTCACCCCCACACATATTTCACACTCATCCAAGTGTGTCATATGCCCACAATCACACTCCTTTCCCATGTGTATGATTAAGCATCCCCATGCTCAAGGGAATTCAGGGAACAGTTGCCATATCAAGGACGTTACCTATTTTTCAGAGGGAGCTGTAGCTTTTTTTTTTTTGGTACTGGGGATCAAACTCTGGTCCTTGCGCTTGCACAGCAGACTGTGAAACCACTGAGCTAAATCCCTGGCCTTAGCTTTTATTTTCCTTAATGAACTCATCCTGTGCTTCTGTGTTTACCCAAGTTGGATGTCTTTTTATTTTTGGTGGTACATATTTTTGGACGGATAATCTGATCAAGGGATGGAAGCATACATTTTTTTTTTCATGAACAATATGCTAATTCTTTCTCTGTGCCATCTTTAAATGTTTGGTTTGGGTCCTCTGTTGCAACCACCTCACTAATTTATGTAAGTCTCATTTGAGACACTCTTTGGGCAATTCATCTTTCATCTCAGATAATTGGTTCCAGGGATCTGTACAATAAAGGTCTTCTAAAGGAATAGCATTTATTCAAGATAAATACACACTATGGGCATTCAAAGAGTTGGGAAATGTTACCCAATTCACAAACTTTATAATAACTTTTACAAAGAGAATCTACACATTCAGCATAAAGTTGATATTCAATAAAAGCTCAGTCATCTTTGCAAAACTAGTAATTTTTTGCATACTTCTGAATTGAAAGGAGATCACTAGATAAGAGCTCTAGGGAATCACTGTTTTCCTTGTCTGAAGCTTCTGTTTCCAGTCAGGTTCAGTTTCATGCATGCTTTTAGGTTTGATTCATTTCATTGCACATTCATTGATCACTTGCTTGATATCAAGCATCCTGTTGGGCACTGTGTGTGTGTGTTTGTGTGTGTGTATGTGTGTGTGTGTTTGGGGGTGATTCAGAGACAACTAAGCCATGATCCCAACTTTCTAAAAGGAGACAGTCTAGTCAGTGAGACAATAATCCCATCTCATTTACTGCAGAACCAACCAGAAAGTGGTTAATGAGTTATAGAGGAACAAAGTATGCATGTGTGTGTGTGTATGTGTCTCTGTGTGTGTGTGTTTGACAGAGAGAGAAAGGAAGAGAGAGATCTTTCTCATCCAAACTGAGAAGATATGGACAGGATTTATATGGGAGGTAGAAAAAAGACTCAGGCTTCGGGAACAGGCTTCCACAGGTTGAGGCGAGCAGGACTTGAAGGTATTGCAGGTAGAGGAAGCGACAGCTAGATATCTTTGGAGGTGGGGTCCAAAAGATATTTGTACAATTGCATGGCATCTGAAGCAGCTGGAATGAAGAGGGCATCAGGAGAAGCTCTTCAGAAAGAAAGGCTGGTTGCCAAACTAAAGGGCTTCACATGCCATGATGAAGGGTGTGATTAAATAATTTGGACAACTGAGAGCCTATGGGGCAATGTTATACAAATAGGAAGATCAATGGTTGAACTGATTAACTGACCCAATAAATTAGAGACAAAGAGACGAGTTGAGTCTAAGTGAGAGGCAGGAAAGTGCCCAAATCAGACATGAGCAATAGAAGGAGAATGGAGGCAGAGCATCACTGATGAGGGCAAGTACCCAGGGGTTGTTAATGAGGAATGAAGAGGAAGGGGGCCAGGGATTTAGCTCAGTGGTGCCACCACCTGCCTTGCAAGCACAAGGTCCTGAGTTCAATCCCTAGTGCCCACCTACCCCCCAAAAAAAGAAATGAAGAGGAAGGACTAAGAAGGTAGGAACTGGGGGTGAGCCCTACATTCAGGATCTGTCCACCTTACACATGGTCCTGCCCTTCACAATGGAAAGACATGTAGAAGGAGGTCCAGCAGGTTTGTAGGAGCTGAGACTGAGTTGAGTTTTGGACATGTCCAGTATGAGCTGACTTTGTGACCTCTGAAAGCAGAGATTTCTACAAAGCAGTGAGTTTGAAAATCTGAAGCTATGAGGAAAGGGAGCTAGTTGTAGACAGCAGTGATTGTGATGTTTCCAGGTTGGGAAAGTTGTGTTGACACCATGAAAGGTAATGAGCTGATCTCTCCAAAGACTTTCTCATCTATCTCTTCTCTTTCCTGTCTAGTGTGTATCAGCTGGTTGTCAAGGAGGAGCGACTTCAGAATTCACGAAGAGCAGCTGACATCATTGAGTGCTTCTCAGTACCTGTGAGCTATAGGAATGCCTCCAGCCTGGATTCTCTACACTACTTTGCTGCTGAATTGAAGCCCGCCAATCTGCCTGTCACCCAACCATTTACAGTGGGTGACAACAAAACATACAATGGCTACTGGAACCCCCCTCTCTCCCCACTGAAAAGCTACAGCATCTACTTCCAGGCACTCAGTAAAGCAAATGGAGTAAGTATGGCCACAAAGAGACCATTCCTTTACCTTGTATGAAGTTTTTATTCTCAAATGAGAAAGGAACAAAGCTTTAGAGATCAACAAACTAAGGCCCATGGGCCTAATCTAGCCTGATGCTTTGTGGGGGCCTGGGAGACAGTTTTCATTTGTTTTTTAAGCTATGCCTATTTGCATATTATCAATGGCTGCTTCAACACTTAACAGTGGAGTTGAGCAGTGGCAACAGATGCTGTATATCCCACAAGGCCTAAGACAATTACTATACAGATGCCCTGAGTCTTTTGTATTAGAGTATGGAGAAGATGCTGCACTTGAATGAAACACAAGGCCTGTGTCTTAATTTCTCTTTTTCATCGTAGTAACTGCTATCAAATGTGCTCTCTATAGTCGCACTCACATATATTAGTTGATATGACCATTAGTCATATACAAAAACAACTTTTCTTAAAAAGGAAAAGAACAGGTAACTTTCTGGTGTCAAATTTGTTTTTGTTCAAGCAGAAGTGTCACACACACATCACACACTCACAGGGCTGGAAAGGATCTTAAAGGTCATCCAGCATCTCCTCCCTAACACACCCACACGCAGCAATGCTTCAGTGAAGTACAGCGTCACAATGAGCTGGTGTTCCTGCTTATTCTGAGTACCTACAGTTTGAGAGAACTCATTTTGCTGATCTTTGGGGGTAGGGGTGTCAGGGCTGTGGCTCTGAGAAAGCTTTGTAATGTATTTACCTAAATATCTTGTCTTATTGCAGCCTCTACTTAATTGCTCTTGGTCTGAACTTTTAATGACCTGTAGAACCAATGCAATCATTTTCTTGGTTGCTATTTTTTTCATCACATAAGATTTTTTCTACCATCTATTTCCTCTCTCTAAAATCTCACTCATCTGGTCTTCTTTTCTACAAGCAAAATATCTTTAGTCCTTCTTATAACACAGATTAATATTTGGTATCCAGGATGCTTTTGTGGACATATTCCAGGTTCCTATATTTCACTCAACAAACATGTAATGAACCCTGCCATCTGCTTAGTGCCATGGTTCATATTAAGGTTAATATGTGCCCTCCAAGAGCTTATAGAAATGTAAAGAACTCTGGTATGTGCCATGCTGTGCAATGAGAAGTTCACCAAAAAATAAAGGCTGAGACAAAAACAAGATTTGATGAAGTGTATGAGGAACAGCCTGGGAGATTCTGGGTTGTCCAGATAGAGTTTAGTTTGTCAGTGGTAGTCACTGCCTGAGAGAAAACCTGCATTGAGGAGCAGATCAACATTTAGAAGGTCCACATGCCCACTTAAATTCCACTTTGATATTTTAATTGTGCATTTTTTTACTGGTTCAAGTAATACTCCTTACAGACAGTGTAAAGCTACAAAGAAGAGCTGCCAGACTGCCTTCCACCTGTCCATCTGGTCCGACCTCTGTATGAAACACTGTGATGTATTGAGTAAGAAGATATAAAGATGGATAGAAGCATCTGGGGGGCCATCTTGTTCTGAATCTTTGCATCCCCCACTAGCCTGATAATTGCTTCAGCACAATTCTGATAAGACAAGGCTTTCTTTGCTCTTGGCCTATGCCAGAAGATGTGGTTGGATTTCCATACTGGGAAAAGGAACCTGCTCTCCATTCACCCTCTACCACATGTCCTCCTGGATACTCATAAAACTAAGCAATGGATCAAGTCTACTGAACTCAAGACAAATTTATCTTAAAAGCAATCTCCTGAATCTAAATATGATTGGCTCTGTGGAGAACAGCAAATGACACAGGACATCTCTAGAATGTTTTTCTCCCCAAACATCATGATAGATTCCTTTTTCAAGACAGTGTTTTGCCATCAAGAAACAAAAAATCAGACACTCTGAAGCTGCCTGCTCTTAAAAGTAGTTTCTACTACTGCTTCTAAAATGAATAAGGCTATTTAATTATATATGTCTCCTATCTCACATCACATATACTCTTGTTTTAATATTAAGATTCCCAGTAATGACAAAAACAGGAATGAAATTGGGTTACTGTTTATGCAATGTATCTTGGGGATGCAATTGGCTACACAGGCACAAAAAGAAGAAAAACAGTCAGATCTTTGGCACACTGCATTGTATTTTTCTTGCAAGATAAAAAAAACAAAACTAAACATTGCCTGAAACTACTGTCTTTAGGGTTGAGTTTTGCTTGAAAGAATTGGGTGAAAAGATCATAGGAGCAGAAGAGCTTTCTCATCTTAATAAATCCGTGGTTGGTCCCTATCAGATTCCTCCATATTAAATATGGCAGCAGACAATGCAGGTAAGTCTGGAGGACTCTTGAGAAAGAAGTGTTGTAACCCACAAATTCCTTATTAGACAAGATGTTGTTGTTGTGCAAATACATCACAAAGACTCTCATTATCCAGAGACTCCCATATGCTTTGCTGCTAATGAATCATTCAAAGAGCAATTGACCAAGCAATGAATCAAAATAAGGTAATCAAGAATAGAGAAATATGGGGAAAAAAGACCACAGCGAGCATGAAACTAATTAGACACTGCATTAGTGCTAAATAATTGCTCCAAATATGTTATAAAACAGAATGTTTAATGTAAAAAATAATTACATAAAGAGAAGATGCATAGTGTAACAACAAATGTGATTTGGTCTACAAGTCACTATTATGTCAACAAAAACTGAGAAACTGTTGGAGAATTGAAACATATAAACAAAAATCTGCTATTTATTTCATATTAGACAAGAGGGAATAAATAACTACTGTTTATTTTTGATACTGAGATTTTAACTATATTTTTAACATAAAGTCAGCCTTACAGTCTATTTCACAAAGGCTAAAAAACAACAATCCACAAAGAAAAACAGGGAAAACAAAGCAAACTATCAGTAAACGTGGAAATCAGCAACTCTAAACTAAGACAAAAGATAAAAGCACTAGATTTGATGAGGAGAAAATATGATGGCCTTCTCCCTTCATAAAAAAGGAAAAAAATGATGTGGATCAAGTTCAGAAAATTTATACTTCAAAAAGATTAGAAACAAAGGATGGGGCAAACTTTTGTAAAACTAAAACAAATTAAAGGAAAACAAAGATAGCCATTTGTTTCAGGGTGACTGTGGGCGGGGTTGGATGATTTGCTATGGACCACTTTCGCTCCTCCCTCTCCTACCTGCAAGCTTTACTTACCACAGGGTAATAGGGCTTCTAGGATCCAGATACCATATCTTTATTCCATAGGTATTAAATTTTCCGCCTAAGCAAAGTGGCCATAAATTCAGCCTTTTCAATAAGGCTGTCTTTATGCAAAATCCTGGTGCCTGTGTGATTTTAGCCAAGCTATTAAAAGAGTTAGATATGATTGATTAATTAAAGGAATATCTGTCAAGCACAGCCTATATGTCAAAAAGGCATTTTTCTAAGTTATACAAATAAAATAGTACATACACCAAACACAAAATTCTCTGCCTTCACAGTATTTAATATAAGGGCAAAGGATAAAAAAATAAACAAATAAATACGTAAAATAATATGTTAAATAATCCATCTTTGTAGATTTCAGAGTGTGAAAGTTACCTACTACACACTGAGTATTAGTACATGAGACAAAGACATTCTGTAAACTCTATAGTGTTCTATGAATGTAGAATATGTTTTTCCAAGTCCCATATTAAAGGAAATATAAGTACAATATGTATAATATATGCTGCTCAGGATCTTTTCAAGAATTTTTATGAAGACTGAGTTGTGTGCAGGCACTTTTGTTGAAAATTTTATCTGATTAATAATCTCACCTTTGACCATTGATGCTTTTACAAAAACAAAGTAGATTCCTGTGTGGGAATACTGTCCTTGGTACTGAATTCCCAGCATCCGCTTTCTTAAGAATCAAGCCATATTGTAACGATTTGTTTTGGATATAGCTGAATTATACTTCTGTAGCACCTTGGATTTTGATGGACTTTGAAGTGTCATTTAATCTAGACTAGAATAAAAAAGAAATCTCCAATAAAGTGTACTTGGCAGGGCTTCAGCTTGATTATTGCAATTCTCTCAAGTGAAAGGGAGTTGATTCTTTTGTGGAACAGGTAAAATTATTAGAACTTTTTTCCTTATCTAAAGCCAGATTCTGTCTCCGTAACTCCCCCTCTTGGCTATTTGTACTGATTTGAACAAATCAAATCTTTCTTTCCCGTGCCAGCCTTTCAGAGAAAGTGCGACAGTGCCAACTACCCACTCTTGGCCACCCGTCATTTTATTGATGTTTAACATGCAGTTCCTTCTTTTATTTCTCCCGTGGTGTGATTTCTATGATCTCTAGATCTCTTTCTTGCCACTTACTCTGTTATCTGATAGACATACTCTCTTCTTTTTAATGCCCTCCTGAAAATGGGGGTTCGCAAAATCTAGCGCTGTGATTCAGGTACTGGTAGGCCACACTGGCTACATTTTAACCACTCCTCTGTCTTGAAAATGTCCTGAAACATTTATCAAACATTCCAAAATGTTTTTCTTATCTTGGCTTCTCGATGCAAGCTTTTATTTTGCCTATATCCCTCTTCATTGTATGCAGAACTAGTACCTCCTCATTTCTTGGGCCAAGTTTAATGTCACATCTTTTGAGCACTTCCCAGTCTTTTTTTTTTTTTTGTACCGGGGATTGAACTCGGGTCCTTGCGCTTGCGGGGCAGGCAGCAGAACCACTGAGCTAAATCCCCAGCTAAAATCTGGATTTTAGTTTTTGTTTTTATTTTATTTTTTTGGTGCCGGAGATCAAACTCAGGACCTTGCACTTGCAAAGCAGGTGGCAGAACCACTGAGCTAAATCCCCGGCCCCCAGTCATTTTATGTAGGAACCCACATCAGTAACAACAGGTTAATCCATTTTTTTCCTTTTTAATGCTAGATATATTTAATAACATTATTTTTATTAAAGTACATTAGTTATATAAAATAATGAGCTTTGTTTTGGAATTTTTGTAAAGATACATAATTTCA